CTCTATTACATTTTTAACTGGTGAAATGACGTGTGAAACACCGCGCCCACACCAAACGGGCGATCACCACAATAGTTGGGATGGGGCTAACTACTTTTTGTAAACCAGAACAAAGCAACTTATTTATGTAATTAGTACAAACGAAATGAGACTATACCATTCGATTCAAATGCTGTCAAAAAAGACCACGACAGGATTCGAGTAAAGCATTTTGAAACGAATACGCCAAAGAGGAACACATTTAAAACGAAGAAAAATATTAGTGAAGACAGGTTAACACGTAGTACTGCAGTCTTAAAAAATACTAAATCACCGATTACGCAAATAACACAAAGAGAGAATTGAAGTGCCGAGAACGAAAACAATATTTGATAATAATAATAATATAAATAATAATAATAATAATAATATAAATAATAATAATAATATAAATAATAATATAAATAATAATAATATAAATAATAATAATAATATAAATAATAATAATAATAATAATAATAATATAAATAATAATAATAGTTATGCATTAATAAATGTCCGCATTATGTAATATGCAGACTAAATATTATTGTAATTATTGTAATTTTTTTGTGTGTTTGATTCTCTTTTCTATCTAATTTTTAATATCAATTTCCCTTGATCTGCTGTGCAAATAACGAGTTGCCACCTTGTTTTTACATGGACACTAGATGCAACTTTTCTAATTCCTCCTAACAGTTTTTTTACTGCTTTGATGTCAAATAAATACGAAAAAACCGAGCTTGTTACAAAACTAGAGCGAAAACGGCCTATGTATCTAGTGTGTTATCCAACAGCAAGCATTCACCTCCATTTTATTACACGGGAGTGACTGGGTGTTATGATACCAACACGTCACAGACATCTGGCTGCGTCCATTAGCATAACTACATGCGCGCCGGAGCCACACCTATAAATTCGCTTTCATCTTCGGCCATTTACTCTCCGCTACAAATGGGGTTTGCGCGCTCAGCTACACACGTACAGTTCGGCCGTGCACACGAGATCTCCGCTACTGTTTGACTCCGAGGTGCGCCGAAACTGGCTGGCGGTGGGCACCGAATGATTGATTGGTGATTCCCCGGTGTGTCAACTGCCAAGACTACTCGTCCCGTATGTGTTGTGTACGTTTGTTTTTTTTATTGGTGGCGGTGATATTCCCCTGCTGGATGGCGAGATCTGACGCCGTCTTATACATCGACTTGCCGCTTTCTTTCTCAACCAGGTATCTCCCACCAGCGGGGCACCGCCCCAGCCGGGGAAGATCTTAACTCCCGATACGTGAGGCAGTGTGATGTACATAAGGGTACGTGTGTGTGTAAGTAAGGTATGAGGATAGGACAAGGAAGAGGAAGGAAAGATCGCGTGCGGTCCGTGGCTAGTTTGTTAGGGTACTGCTCCCGCATTCGCCTGGTGTTGATCGGAGAAAACCACGGAAAACTACCGATCAGAACAGCCGGCCGCTAGAAATCTCGTGCGTAGAGTGGCTGAATGGGATCTAGCTATGTAGCTAGCGTCGAAAATCCAACCACTGTCGGGACTAGAACCCTAGGACCTCCAGGTCAGGGTGTGAATTGATTCCTTGAACCACTTCAGCCGGTGTGACACTGAAGATCCTGACCATCATGCAGCCGAGAAGACGGGTTAGACAATTATTGTCTTACCAGCTGCACCTGTACGAAAACTGCACACTTTCTGAATAGTTGTTTTATATTTGGAAAGTACTTCAATGAAGCCAAGCTCGAACGGCCGCCCTATTTCCCCATAGGACACATGTGCCCACAATAATGTCGTCCCTTCAGGGACACGAAATACTGATTTCTTTTTGTATACCAGCATTATAAGCGATCTTTCCTGTTGCAAGAAATCGTTCATTAGCTCATCAGTAGATGTTATGACCAATGAATGCGTCATCAGTCATTCAGCCAATCGCAGCGAGAGAATCGCGGGGAGGTAGTGTTGAACAGAACAGCCGACCACCGTTTACTCGCACAGATGTCAAATACCCGAGATGTCACAAGACAGTTGTTTCGCAAAATTAAGTTTGATTCTCTTATAAATTCATAATTACATTATACAAAAACGTAGTGTATGCAATTGGTTTCTATGATCTTTCATTGCATTCGTACAAATTTGAAAAATCGCTCCTAATGGAGCTCGTTTTCACAACATTAACTCGTGTAATAAAGCGTAACATTATAAACTAGTTCAATAAACTACTATTAAGGGTACTGTAGGACGCATCGTTCCTAGACTTATATACAATTATAATGTACGATGCATACATCTGTCTATTTAAGTCATCTGCAAACCTCAATTATTTCGTTGAAATTCGTAGAATGCACGATTGGGATCTAATTCCTTACACCGCAGAAATACATCAGAAAGGTTTTATCACGATCGTTTCTTTAAAAATTGACAAAAACCGTCTTATTTGCTTCACTTATTAAACAGAGTAATATGGGGCACTGATATACTACAGTTGGTGCTGAAGACGGGCATCAGAATTCTGTCATCAGTTCAGCATGCTTTCTAGTTTACTGGAGTTTCACAAGTTTGACTTAGCATGCCTTATGTTAACAAGATAAAAAGTTACCGTTATCAGCATTGGCTCGTAGTTCGTGGCTTCAAATACCTCTTCTCCGTGTGTGGATTTCATGTGGGTTTCGCAGAGAATTCTTGTTTGCAGATCCGTTGATCGCGTAATGTGTTAGCGATCCAGAGTAGGTGATATAGGCGGCTAGGTCAGAGAGTGTGATATACAAAGCAATTTTCTATGCCAGACAAAATTGCAAAAAAAAGATAAATAAAGAATGTTGTAAAAATTGAGAAAAAGTCAGAAGATAAAATGCAAATTTCGTGTTTGTTTTTTTAACTCACGGCCTAAACACCTAATTGTGAAACAATAAACAATCGACTAAATTGTGCTCACTGCTAGAGTTTCTAGTAATTTGCACTGGTAACCTAACAGTTCTGCCAATTCCCGAACGCCGTTTTTACATCACTCTCGCAAGCTGAATGACCTCAATACCTGCGCAAGAAACTATTTTTTTCTAGTTCTTTTTTGTGTGATCCATTTAGAAGATCGCGTTGAAAATTATTCCGTTTTATTGAGGCTTCCTAATTTTTTTGTTCCACAATTTCCTCGTACGTTTCCTGTTATTTTTCTTGTGTTCTTCGATTTTTTACCTGTTTTTATGTTTACAGTTATACCCAAATATGTTCATTTTTATGTCCCCCAATGTTTCGCAGTGTTTCAGGGTTATTATGTTAATGTTCATCAAGATCTTGCATTTTTTTCTAGGGAGTTGGATACCGCACTCCTTCAGTTGACTACATTACGTTTGTAGTAACCTTGTGATCACACTGTAATGTTTCAACATTCCACTTGATTTGCGACACCGGTATGACGGGCTCACATGATTAAATTCATTTATTAATTCAATCGTTTGTTCACACCTACATTCACGTGTTCACAACAACATTCACTTGTTCACAACAACATTCACTTGTTCACAACAACATTCACTTGTTCACAACAACATTCACTGTTCACAACAACATTCACTGTTCACAACAACATTCATGTTTTTCATACCTAAATTCATGTTTTTCATGCCTACATTCATTTGTTGGTTCCTACATTTATTTGTTCATTAATTTATTCACACATTAATCATTGCGTTAATTTGATCCCTCATTTATTTATTTTCACCTGCGCCGAAGAGGACTTGCGCACCGGCGTCAGTTGGGCTCCCGAGTGGCCCAGCTGTACAGGTGAGGCTGCGGGGGTGGGGGCGGGGGCGGATAAACACATGCAAATGGGCCGCGCAAAACTCGCGAGCATTGCGTATGCCGCCTCCGCCGCTTTCTCCCACCAGCACATCGCGTGCACCGCGCTCACTCACACCCACCGCTCAAGCAGCGGCCGGGCTGGCGTCGGGCGCCAAGGCGCGACCCACGCGCCGCCGCCGCGGAGAGCGGCTGCGGAGGACGGGCGGGCGACCCTTTCTTCTCACTTCTTTCACTTTCTTCTAGTCACTAACGAAATTTAAGCTATGTTTCTATGAATTGGAAAATGATCTAATGATTTAGGCGGTCGAGTTGGTCATTCAGGACAAAAATATCACGAAAACGTACCTACGATAAAGTTATGTTTGAAATATAGTGAAATAGAAGAAAATAATTCGTCTGAAAAGTGTGTAATATGTTTTTTGTTGTTTTCTGTTACTTGCAAACGTTGCGTGGTCAGGCGGAAGACATTGCCTGATGCCCTTAAGCCTTCCACGTAAAATATGGTTCATTAAATTGGCTGGAATACCAAATAAAACAATTTACATACACAATCTGAATATCCCCACGGCGCCGCCGCTCACACGCCGTCGGGAGGAAGCTGGACGCTCTAACGAGCTACTCGGCCCAATTCAAGGGCTATTGATTAATTGATTGATTAGCGATTCCATGCGCGTCACCTGCTTAGGTCAGTAGTGCCGTAAGTGTGGTGCATGTTTTTCATCGCGAGAAAAGGCGGTTCTTTGGAGGGCGAGACCCGGCCCCGACCTGAACGTCAGCTTGCGATTTTCCCTCAACCAGGTATCTCCCACCAGCGGGGACCGCCCCAGCGGGGACAAGCTATAAACTCCCGACCGGTCTCCCGGCAGGTGGGGTAGTGTAGCTCTTGTAAATGGAAGTTTACGTAAGAGCTCAGGATAGGACAAGGACGTTCACAAGTCTCAAATAATTAAATTTCAAGAATGAATCCGCACACGCGTGTGGATAGCGTGGGGAGTTCCGCGTTTTCGCTCTTTTACGCCTAGAATCGCGTACATCAGATTTTCTTTTCTAGAAGGGAGCATTTGAGGGGTGCTGTAAATTCAGAAAGAGCAGGAAACTACTGTTTTATTTGGCAGTTACCACAAATATTCAACGGACGTTTATAGTCCCATGCGTCTATTTAGGGTTAATATTACATTTATGATAGGTCAGTTCTTATATTTCATATTCCAGTTTTTTTCTAAACTTAATGCTGCATCCGCGTATGCTCCATGAGGAAAGAAATACTCTGTTACTTGGAAGTGGCATTTCCTGTTTACAACATTCTTTGCATATTTTGTAGCTTTAACTCCGTTCCCTTGATAAATGTAACTAATCTGTACGAAAATTCTATTCATACATACATGTACACAGTTTCCCAGTTTTAATGGGCAAAACATATTATAAATATGATAAAAAATCTTTAATATATTCTACTTGGGCTAGCTGTGCAACCACAATGCTCATGAATTTCAATGTAAATTCACATGCGCAAACAAGGTAGTTTTATATGCAGAGGAGACTGCCCTTATTCAACAGTTCAGTTTCTCTGACGTTGCCGAATATGCTTTCAGGTCTAGAACGAGATAATACTAGGCAAACTAACGTAGACGATTAAATTTGAAATTAATAGTAACCTCCATCAAAACCAGATTAAAAACCATATACTATCGAAACAGTTGAACGCTGTTTTGGGGGGCTGTGGAAAGCGTTCCCCCCTACTCTCACCCACAGAAAAGCAACAAAACGTCTTGCAGCTCTCTGTAACCTCAAGCACAACTTTCTGTAACCGCAAGAGAAAGCGATTTAAATGTTTTGAGTTTTTTATTGAAAAAATAACAATTGAAATTTAACATTCAAAATTCTCAGACACTCTACTAAAGCAAATTTCAACTTTGTAGTTCTTCAATCAAGCACATTCCTCCCACCCGGATTAACACCTTTTCATTTCAAGGAAATAAGAACGACCTTCATATAAACCACTTGCGGAGGTATTTAGATTGTGTATGTAAAATTGGTTTGTTTAGTATTCAGGTCAATTTAATGAACCATATTTTACGTGGCGAGGCTTACGGCATCAAGCCAGGTCTTCCGCCTGACCACGCAACGTTTGCAAGTGACAGAAAACAACGAAGAACATATTCCACACTTTCCAGATGAATTATTTTCTTTTATTTCACTACCTTTCAAACTAACCAAAACTTTATCGTAGGTACGTCTTCGTCATATTTTTTCCCTGAATGACCGACTCGACTGCCTAAATCATTAGATCGTTTTTCAATTCATAGAAACATAATTTAAATTTCATTAGTGATTAGAAGAAAGAAAAAAAAGGAGTAATGTTTTTGCTAAAGAGTAAAGTCTTCAAATCTTGTCATGCAAGTTGTTTAAGTAACCCTGGGTACACGCCTATTCCATTTGGAGGGCTGAGTACTACACCGCAAGATTTCTTGACCTTCCACCACTGCGGATGCGGGGAGAGGACTATGGCTACGTCCCGGCTTGCAAGGGCGTACCAACTATTGAAATAAACATATCGCGCCAAAGCGTGCCACTAGAAGTGCTACGATTGTTTTGAAGGCGCGTGATATATGTTGGCAGAATTGTAAATTGGTTTACGTGCCGTTCGGAGACAGACTTAAGCATCTCAACGGACCGACCGCGAGAGGTGGCTCAGTGGATCAACTGATGTCACTGCAGTGCCTCTCATAGGGAGGTTCTAGGTTCGAGTCCCGACTAGCAAGATTTTCGACACAGGCTCGTCAGGGAGGTCAAATTCAGTCACTGTGCGGAGGAGAATTGTAGCGGACGGCTGCTCTAATCGGTAGATTTCCGTTGTTTATCCCATCAACAGGCGAATGCTGGAGTAGCACCCTAACACACGGGCCACAGACCGCGGGCATTTTTTCCTACCTCTTCCTTGTCCTATCCTATTCCCTTACATAAAAATCACACTACCAGACATGTCGGGAGACGGGTTGCGAGCTTAGAGCTTCCCGATGGGGCGGCGCCCCGCTGATGGGAGATACCTGGTTGAGGAAAACCCCGTAGGTCGGCGCATCTCAGCGGGAGATCACCGCCTTCTCCCGAGGAAATCATGCACTACACTTACGGGACCAATGGCCTCAGTACACTAACAACCAACCAACCAACCAACCAATCAATCAATGAAGCAGCTGTGCTATTCAGCGCTGTGCAAGGACTACGGACCAAGAAATCTTACGTGAGCAAATAACTAGAAGATTCAAAATAACAGTTACGCGGGACGCTGTTCATCCTGCCAAAACCCCACGTTTCAATTTCTACGAGAGCAATAACATCCTTTTCTGAGGCTGCGATGATTCACGAGGTAGCACGCTGCCATTGACACGACGCGCTAATCAAGTAATTATGACTAATACCCCGTGTAACTGTGACAGGGGTCTCCCCCTGCTGCCAGCCACACTTAGGCGCATAGATCACGGGGGCCGCCCCGCCAGCCACGTGACGGGCGCGGACAATGGACTGTCGCCGGGCGCACGCGCGTGATAGGGAGCCGCGTAATATGCGCTCGGGCTGGTAACGACGCGGCGGCATCTAGCATTTCGCGAGGGGGAGGGGGTTGCAATAGAATGTGGCTGCGGTGATGTAACGGTTAGTGTATCGAGCTGTTGTACTCAAGTCTGCGTGTTCAAACCCGGTGGAAGCCGTGGATTTTCAAACATTTTTCTTCGCACGCCATCCTTCGGATGGGAAGCAAAAAAGAATGCCTCATGTTGTAGATTTACTGCATATAAATATATGCTACCTTCGGTGCGGAAAGTAAAGCCGGATGTCCCATGTTGTAGATTTGGCACATGTAAAAGATGCTCAAGCCGAAAAGTAGCCTCTAAACTAAATTCAAAGTCGTCTGTATTGTCGTCCGAGTGATACCTTCTTTCTCCGCTAGAAGGTGAAGGGAGCGTAGCGAAATTTGCGTGGTCAGGCGGCGGAGCAGACCTGATGGTCTGAGTCTCGGCCCGTCTAAGGCATCATTCAATTGATAATGGACCGCAAGGGGTAGAGCCGCTGGTGCGATATCAGGTAGTGCGGTTATACACTTTCGGGCAGAGAACCGTCAGAAAGAGCCTTAAGGGGTGGCTTCCACATACGAAGGAGACACGAAAAGAGATTTTAATGCTAGTACCGGCGCAAACATTTATTTCAAGTGCTTAAAATAAAGGTTACTAGCTCAACGATTTTTTTGTTGATGTATTGCAGTTAACTAGGTGAACTCGGTAGAAAAAAAAAGTTAAATTGCAGTCATTTATGAACTAATAATACATTTACGCAGAACTAAATTAATATGTCTTTTTACATATTTAAAAATAGTTTTTGCCGAGTAAAATAAGGATCTTGCATACATGTTTGTATGAAGAGAAGTTTCATAAAGATTAGTTGCAATTATCAAGTGAACGGTGTTAAAGCGCAAAATATGCACGGAATATTTTGTAAACAGGAAATGTTGCTAGCTAGCCTCAATAACCTACGGAATACAAATGAATATATTATTTACTTCGGTTTATGCACGAAAAAACGTTCACTTATAATTGGAATTAGTTAATATTTTAATTTTATTTCAATTTTATTAGTGTGGTTTGGCACCTGCACAATGTATGTACATACTCAGAAGAGATTAATAAATCCCTTGTAAAGTGTTTTAAAATGAAATACTCAGAGAAATGGAAAATACAAAATCTCGATCTGTTAATACAACATAAGATTTTCTTTAAAAGCTTCCGAAACATTTCGATGTGTCTTTGTATTTCTAATAAATAAGATATATTTAATTGAAAATATTAATTTTGTGTGTGTATAATGTTTAATGTGTCGGAGATATCTGTGACTTGAAGACTAAAAACAGAACGTAAGGGGGAGGAGGGAAAGATCACGCCCGGACCTCGGCCCCTTTGTTAAGGTGTTTCTGCGGTATTCGCCTGGTGTTGGTCGCAGATACCCAAGGAAAACTACGGACGATGTAATTCTTCTCTAGAGAGAGTGAATTTGCCCGTAGATCTACAGCTAGGGTCAAAAATCCGCCACCTTGGTCATTCGAGCCGTAGAGACTCCCGGGTGATCTCTGCAGCATTCGAGATTCGCGCGGTTCAATTCGCCATTTGAGCTTTTTTTTTCTAATTGCTAACTGCCATACACGACGTGCGTTCATGCTGGAACCGAGCTGGGCGGAGCGGGAAAGCGGCGGAGGGGCGTGGCAAGGCCCGAAAAGCGCCGAAAAGCGCCGCCGCGCTCCAGTTCCTGCTGCCGCCGGTGCGGGGCGGAGGAGCGGTGGCGGAGGCGAGGGGGCGAGGGCGGAGGCGGGGCGGTGGCGAGGGGGCAGGGACGGGGAGCGGGGCGGTGGCGAGGGCGGCGGAGGGGCGGGGGCGAGGTAGGTCGCCCCGGGAGAGAAAGTGGCTGTCGGGCAGCGACCGCCCACGCCGCCACTCACCGCTCCTCGCACGCACCGGGCGACGACGCGAACCATCGACCATCGAAGCGTTCACCTGTCAAACGGGAGTGATCCTAAGGTTTCCAGAATATCCCCACTACCGTCTTTGAGTATGCGGTCAGACATGTTGCTGATCTCAAGCTGATGAGACGAATTGAAGTCGAAACAGTATAGAAAACGACGACATAGGTGTAAGCCAAAGAATATATTTGCTAGTATTCGCCAAAGCGTGTCTTATTCAAAATACTTTGACCAATGGGTTCCAAAAACCATTCAGGAATTCAACGTCAAAAGGGAGTTTATGCAACACGGGAAATCCATGTGGTGAACATTTGTTGCACCTCGTAAAAATTATTTGAAGCAAGTACCAAAATAGAAGAAATCTGCGAAAAATGCATTAAAATTATGTGAAAAGGTGAAAAATAACCTATTAGTCGAAAACGACTAAATTCAAAAAAGTACATGTAAAATTGGATAATTTCGTTTAGTCTTATCATAAAATGAATTTCTATCCTAAACGGCATTGATCTAAAGGGGGGGGGGAAATGACATTTCTTTAATATCCCTTTATTCGTAACATTAGTCTATTTTTTATCCACTTAATACTTAGGTTACAGAATTGATATTCACACACTTCCGTTCCTAAACAAAACCTGAAATTGAACTACGAAATAGAAAAAGGCAATAATTGGAATACGAAATTTTTAAAGCATCCTTTAATTTAAAGCATCTTGACATTTTCCTTAATAGCTCAATTTCCTCATTTAATATTTGTATTTTCCTCCGAAATGTATCACTTCAATGTAAAATGTGCAAGCAAAAAGAAAAATTGAATAATTGGAATGAGAGTTAAAACGCCAGTTAATGAACTTAGCAAATTCATGCTGTTGCGAAAAAAAAAACAGCCTATCAACATTTTTCAATTGGATTTTTAATTACTTAATTCTGTTTAAATAATTCATTCCCGGGCAAAATGTAATTAAACATAAAATAATGATTCAAATTACAGTTGTGTTTTTCGACTTCATTCAACGCACACCGAATTTCACCACCAAATAAATATCCATCGTATTTATGTAGCATAGAATCATAAGTAAGGTACAACGTTTTCCCCCCACTTACCTACAGAGCGTTATAGAGCGGAAAATTAATTTCCATAGAATGCAATCTGTTTCACATAAATTATTAGTTTTTACAATACAATAGAGTGTGTACAATTCGATTTACCAAAACATTATTTAAAATAAATAAATATTTCCGAAACATGTGAGTCACACTAGAGGGCGCCATGAGATACGTAGAACAAGAACCTGAGGCAACTCCAGCCGGCAGAGTGTGATTTTTAGAAAATTGCCTCATATTGCCGCACGTTAACGAAACAATGTACGTGAACAAAAAACAATTTACAACTAATTTAAGATATAATACTCTTACTCATTAAGCAAAACTAATACGAAAAAGTATATCGTAAATAATTTTCCCATTGATTTCTGCATGATTTAGTTTTAAAATTACGATTCGTTTGCCTTATCAATACCAACTCTTACTGTAAATTCAATATAAAAAATAGTAAATATTAATAAAAGATCTCCATTTTAAAATGTTCAACATACTATTGGTTTTCCGAAGCATAGAGATAATCCCTATAAAACGTCATAGACAATTTTCTTATATTAATTCACGAAGTGACGTGACTTTCGTAATAGAATGGGTGAGGTACGTAATTCTAAAGATTTATTTTTGAAAAAATCGAATTATCTTGTATGAAGATTGATATTAATACAAGATATCTGCAAATAAATGGCGTGGCTATGAGAACTTCGCAAATATATATTGTATATTGTGGGGCAAAACCAGTTGAAGGAAGTCGTACGATATATGCTTATCGTTCTCGACTGCATTATTTTGTCGTTATGTAAAAATATCAAAGACAAATCGATGTTAAAAAACGTCACAAAAACACGATGATTTTAAAAAGTCGATGCTTTGAATACATCAACATCAATATCGCAATCGTTTCTGAAGGTTATGCAGCGCCTCATGCGAAAGACAAAATGTCGTCCGCTGTCTTACCGTACCTTCACAGTTCTGCAATGCCCCAAGCGTAAGACAAAATGGCCGCTGCTTGACAGGTATGCAATGCTTCATGCGACAGACAAACGGCCACTGGGTGGCTTACCGTAGTTTGATAGTTCAGCAATGCCCTATACGATAGAAAAAATAGCCGATGTCTTATCGTAGTTTGACAGTTATGCAATGCCCCATACGAAAGACAAAATGGACGCTGTTTTAGGAGTCGTAAACATTTAATTTTCTTTCACGATTCAGTAAAACAAAAATACTGAAAGAATGGCACATAGAACGACGGATTTTGTTGCAAAACAATTTGGCTATTCTAAGGCAACCAGATCACCCTTAAGCTTAGGCACAGACACAGTGCCCCATGCGAAAGACAAAATGGCCGCCGACTTAGAAGTCGTAAACATTTAATTTTATTTAACGATTCAGTAAAAGACACCAACAAATACTGAAAAATGGCACACAGAACGACGGAAATAAAAATAATTCGGGTACTCTAAGGCAACCAGATCAATCTCGAGCGTCGCCACTGACACGATGCCCCATGCGAAAGACAAAATGGCCGCTGGCTGGCTGCCTTACCGTAGCTTCCACACGCCGATCTCTGCGTAGCGGCCGCCGCCGCCCGGCGAGGACGCGTTGCTGCAGTTGGCGCTGCCGTTGCTGCTGGCGGTGTTGCTGTTGTTGTTGCCGCTCGCGCTGCGCGTCAACAGCCGGGGCGCCGCCGCCTTCCCCACGTGGTGGTGGTGGTGGTTAATGTTGTTATTGTTGTTGTTGTGGATGTTGTTGAGGATGACCAGCGCGTCCCCTTCGGGGTCCTCCGACATCGGAGGCAACATGGCGGAGCGCGCACTCGACACTTCGCGACGCGATTTACCAGCACTCACTCCGGCAGGCGAAACTAGTCACTGGACGATTGCGCATAGACATGGTTGTCATTCGTAATGGTTTCAGAGATTCCGAACGGCTCCCTAATAGGTTCTGCGATTCGGGGCGTTTCTTAGGAGGTAGTATATGAGCCGGGAACGAACGCTGCAATTCTGGAATGGAAATATGCATTCGTTGTGGCTTTAGCTTATATTTTAAAATGCCAAATCACAATTTTTTTCATTGAAATATTTTCAAATTATTTAATTATTCGAAATCGGCGAATTAATCGTACGAAATATCCAGTCTTTCGCTCCATTATAGTTAATCATTATAACCAATAATTTTTTTAACATAATAACTATTAGACTGCAAAAGTTTAAAATGATGTACTTCACAATATTCAAAAAAAATTCTAAATAAATAAAGATTTGAAATTCTTTAACACAATTCACTAATAGTTTTAAGAACATTTGCTCTATCGTACAACACGTTTAATACAATAATTTGTGTTGTAGGAGTTGGTATTCCTCGTCTTACAAAGAGAGTAGTATTCAAAATTTATATAGCAATATTTTTAACTGATTGCAATTTGGCAAAAATTGTATTACTTTTATTAGGAAGATTTTAAACTCAGACATCTAAATATTACATTCAAACACTCAACTATGTTTCTCGTATTCCCAGTTTGAACAGTGAACTTCAAGCAGTAAACATTACAGGAAAAAAAACCTTCAAGCAGTTGCTCGAAATCTAATTTTAAGTAATACTATTACAGTTAAACATCATGCATCACTTGAAAGTTAAATATTTTGCACCATTTACGAAAATACTTTTAATATTTCAATAATTACATTCTCAATATCAAAATGATTTCAAAAAGAACTCAATCTAGAAGTTCGAATTAGCCGGAGTTCGAATTACGCGGACATCGAATTACGCGAACTTCGAATTACGCGGACATCGAATTACGCGGACATCGAATTACGCGGACATCGAATTACGCGGACTTCGAATTACGCGGACTTCGAATTACGCGGACTTCGAATTACGCGGACTTCGAATTGACGCCGCGCCACTTCGAATTACGCGACTTCACGAATTACGCGGACTTCGATTACGCGCTTCGAAATTACGCGGACTTCGAATTACGCGGACCTATAGAATTAACGCGGAACTTCGAATTACGGGACTTCGAATTACGCGGATTCGAATTACGCGGAACTTCGAATTACGCGGACTTCGAATTACGCGGACTTCGAATTACGCGGCTTCGAATTACGCGGAAACTTCGAATTACGCGGACTTCGAATATTACGCGGACTTCGAATTACGCGGACTTCCGAATTACGCGACTTCGAATTACGCGACCTTCGAATTACGCGGCTTCGAAATATACGCAGTACTTCGAAATTACGACAGAGGCATTCGAATTACGCGGACTATCGAATTTACGCGGGACTATCGAATTACGCGGGGGATTCGAATTCCGCGGACCTTCGCAACTTTACGCGACTTCCGAAATACGCCTCCGCGACTTCGACATTACGCGGACTTCGAATTACGCGATTCGAATTACGCGGATCTGAATTACGCGGACTTTTCGATTAAGCAGGACTTGACATTACGGGACTTCGAATTACGCGGACTTCGAATTACGCGACTTCGAATCTACGCGGACTTCGACATTACCGCCGACTTCGAATTAAGCGGACTTCGAATTACGGCGGACTTCTCGAATTACGCGACGTCGAAATTACGCGGACTTCCGAATTACGCGGGACTTCGAATTACGGCGGACTTCGATTACGCGGACTTCTCGAATTACGCGGACTTGAATTACCGCGAAGCTTCGAATTACGCGGACTTCGATTACGCGGGACTTCGAATTAGCGCGGACTTAACGAATTACGCGGACTCGAATTACGCGGAATATCTCGCAATTCACGCGGACTTCGATTACAGCGGTAACTTCGAATTACGCGGACTTGAATTAGCGCGGACTTTTCGAATTACGCGGACTTACGAATTACGGGGGACTTCGACATTACGCGGACTTCGAATACGCGGATTGGATTACGCCCGGACTTCGAATTACCGGACCTTCGAATTACGCGGACTTCGGGAATTACGCGACTTCGAATTACGACGACTTTCGAATTACGGCGGAACGTTCGAATTACGCGGACTTCGTTCGGAATTACGCGGACTTCGAATTACGCCGACTTCGAATTCGCCGGACTTCGAATTACGCGGACTTCGAATTACGCGGACTTCGATTACGCCGGACTTCGAATTACGCGACTTCGAATTACGCGGACTTCGAATTACCGCGGACCTTTCGGAATACCGGCTTCGAATTAAACGCGGACTTCGAATTACGCGGACTTCGAATTACGCCGGACTTCGAATTACGGCGGACTTCGAATTAAACGCGGACTTCGAATTACGCGGACTTCGAATTAGCGCGGAACTTCGAATTACGCGGACTTCGAATTACGCGACTCGAATTACGCGGACTTCGAATTACGCGGACTTTCGAATTCGCGGACTTCGGAATTACGCGGACCTTCGAATTACGCGGCTTCGAATTACGCGGATTCGATTAACAGAATTCGAATTTAGCATATGTAGCTCTCGAAGTGCCCCCGAATGATCCAGGTGTCCGAATGATCCAAGTGTCGAATGTTCGAATTGTTCAAAATGTTCGAATTGTTCAAATGTTTCGAATTGTTCAAATGTTCGAATTGGGTTCGGATATGTTGCGGACGTTGAGTTCGGAATGTTCGAGTTGTTTCGAATGTTCGAAGGTTGTTCGAATGTTCGAGTTGTTCGAAATTGTTCGCAGTGTTCGACTGTTCGAGTTGTTCGAATGTTCGAGTTGTTTCGAATGTTCGAGTTTGTTGCGAAATGGTTCCGAGCTGTTCGAATGTTGAGTTGTTCGAATGTTCGAGTTGTTCGAATGTTCGAGTTGTTCGAATGTTCGAAGTTGTTCGAATGTTTCGAGTTGTTCGAATGTTCGAGTTGTTCGAATGTTCGAGTGTTTCGAATGTTCGAGTTGTTCGAATGTTTCGAGTTGTTCGAATGTCGACGTTTTCGAATGTTCGAGTTGTTCGAAATGTTCGGAGTTGTTCGAGATGTTGCGAGTTGTTCGAATGTTGTAGTTGTTCGATGTTCGAGATTGTTCGAATGTTCGAGTTGTTCGAATGTTCGAGTTGTTCGAATAGTTCGAGTTTGTTCGGAAATGTTCGAGTTGTTTCGAGATGTTCGAGTTGTTCGAGGATGTTCGAGTTGTTCGAGATGTTCGCGTTGTTCGAATGTTCGAGTTGTTCGAATGTTCGATGTTGTTCGATTATGTTCGGAGTTGTTCGAATGTTCGGTGTTCGAATGTTCGAGTTGTTCGAAATGTTCGAGTTGGTCCGAATGGTGAGTTGTTCGAATTTTTCGAGTTGTTCGAATGTTCGAGTTTTGTTCGAATGTTCGAGTTGTTTCGAATGTTCGAGTTGTTCGAATGTTCGAGTTGTTCGAATGTTCGAGTTTGTTCGAATGTTCGAGTTGTTCGGAATGTTCGTTTGGTTGCGAGATGTTCGAGTTGATTCGACATGTTCGAGTTGTTCGAATGTTCGAGTTGTTCGAATGTTCGAGTTGTTCGAATGTTCGAGTTGTTCGAATGTTCGAGTTGTCGAATGTTCGAGTTGTTCGAATGTTCGAGTATGGTTTCGAATGTTCGAATTGTCGAATATTTCAATGTTCGAAATTGTTCGAAATGTTCGAAAGTGGTATCGAATGTTCGAATTAGTTCGAATGTTCGAAGTGATATACGAATGTTTCGAAGTGTTCGAAGTGTTTCGAAGTGTTCGAAAGGTGTTGAAGTGGTTCGGAATTGTTCGAAGTGTTCCGAATTGTTTCGAAGTGTTTCGAATTGTTTCGAATGTTCCGAATTGTTCGAAATGTGTTCGAATGTTCGAATTGTTCGACTGTTTCGAATGTTCGAATGTTCGAATGTCGAATTGTTCGAATGTTCGAATGTTCGAATGTTCGAATTGAGTTTCGAGGAATGTTCGAAATTGTTCGAATGTTCGAATTTTCGACATGTTCGACATGTTTCGCATTGTTTCGAATGTTGCGAATTGGTTCGAATGTTTCGACTTGTTCGAATGTTCGAATTGTTCGAATGTTTCGAATTGTTCTGAATGTTCGAATGTTCGAATTGTTCGAATGTTCGAATTGTTCGAATGTTCGAATTGTTCGACGATGTTCGAATTGTTCCGAATCGTTCGAATGATATAGAATTGTTCGAATGTTCGAATTGTTTCGAATGTTTCGAATTGTTCGAATATGTTTCGAATGTTCGATATGTTCGAATTGTTCGAAATGTTCGGAATGTTCGAATTGTTCGAATGTTCGAATTGTTCGAATGTTCGAAGTGTTCGATTTCGAAGTGTTCGAATGTTCGAAGTGTTCGACTGTTTCGAAAGTGTTCGAATGTTCGAAAATAGTTCGAATGTTCGAAGTGTTCGAATGTTCGAGTGTTCGATGTTCGAAGTTTCGAAGAATGTTCGAATAGTGGTTCGAATGTTCGAAGTGTTTCGAAATGTTCGAGTGGTTCGAATGTTCGAAGTGTCGAATGTTCGACCAGTGTTCGAATGTCGAAGTGTTTCGAATGTTCGAAGTGTTCGAATGTTCGAAGTGGTTTCGAATGTTCGAAGTCGTCGTAATTTCGAAGTCGTTCGTAATGTTCGGAAGTCCGCTATCGAATGTCCTATTCGAAGTCGTCGTAATGTTCGAAGTCGTCGAATGTTCGAAGTCCGTTCGTAATTTCGAAGTCGTCGAATGTCGAAGTCGCTTTCGAAGTGCTATTCGAAGTCGCGTATCGAAGTCGTCGAAGTGTTCGAAGTGGCTATTCGAAAGGTCCGTCGTAATGTCGAAGTTGCGTATCGAAGTCGTCGATAGGTTCGAAGTCGGTTTCGAAGTCGTATTCGAAGTTCGCTATTCGAAGGTCGCGTAATTCGAAGTCGTCGTAATGTCGAAGTGGTTCGACAGTGTTCGAATGTTCGAAGTGTTCGAATTGTTCGAAGTGGTTTCGAATGTTCGAATGGTTCGTTAGTGTTCGAATGTTCGAAGTGTTCGAATGTTCGAAGTGTTCGACTGTTCGAAGTGTTCGAATGTTGGA